CAGCCAGTAATATCGGCTCAAGAATTGGAGTTCCCGTCGGAAACCGAAACCAAAGCAGAGGAGGAGGAAGAGGCGGCACATCTGGCGGCAGCAGAGGCTTCAGAGGAGGCGCCTCTGGAGCCAGAGGAGGTGGTGGCGCCCGGAGGGGCGGTCTTCGAGGAAGAGGCGGATCCCGAGGAGGCGGACAAAAGTTTGCAAACTTTACATAATTTTATGAGAAATCTCTGCAAAACTAATGCTTTAAATCTCTGTAAATGAAAAGTTGTCTCTATTTTGCTAATCATTTGCGAATCTATTAATCATTTTATAAGTTATTTATAATATCTGTGAAAAGTTATGTCAAACTATTAAAGTAATCGTTATTTGGATATCTATTAAAGTGCTTTATATTTATCATAAATTAGTATTTTATTTCATCAAATAATTACAATTGAATTAAATATAATTTATAAAAACATTTCAATTAATGATTTTTAAAATAATTTTTCCAAACAATAGTCAGAAAAAAGTGCCGACGGCTGAAGAACTGGACGCAGAACTCGATGCCTATACTAATAAGGTTTGGATTTTTATATTTTCAAAGTGTTTTGCAAATGGTTTTGATTTGTGTTTATATTATTTAGATGTGAATTATGTCATCCATTAATCCATGTTTTAACCCTCAAGACCTGTTAATCCTTTGCTCATTCGCTGACATTTTATTCAATTATTTTGATGTAAAACCTACTTTATCTGATCATGAGTTTCAACAACTTATTTGTAATGAATTTTAAACTTTAAGAATGAAATAAAAATTTAAATTTCTTGGTTAATATTTAAAATAATTGCAGTCGTTTTTTAAGTCAAATGATTATTCAGTATTACAGTAGATTTAAGGAAATGAATAATAAATCACTTAACAAGTAATCCAATTGTCGGACACACACTTGGTTTCCAAGCGATGGCCAAAATAGGAGCAAATTATTTGAATGATTGAAAACCAAATGTTTTCGAAACCATTGAATGAAAACAAATGAAAAGCAATGAAAGGCACCCTTCAGTCCAACCAAATTGCCATTCAAACATAAATTAGCGTTAAATGTCTAATCAGTAATCATTGGCCCATTCGTTCTCCATTAAGAAGGTGTCGATCACTTCTTTCATCGCCAGATTCGGGATCAACTGATCGGCGGTGAGTGGCGTTCGAGTGACCGGATCGAAGTGGCCGACCCGTTGTAGGTGTTCTTCGATGTCTTTGCGGTCATATGTGATGCCACTCGGGGTGACCACCGGATCGCGCATTATCTCAAAACTGATTTTTCCGCACAAATAGTCGGGAACTTCACGTTTCTGTTCACAAATTCATTAGTATTTGACCAAAAGATTGATAAAAGAGTCGAAAGTTTCATCCGATTCTAACCTGTCTTCTGGTGTCTAAACTTGAAAACATAGCATTCAAGTCATCAGTCCTTTGATCGGTTGTCGTGACGATCATCCGCTTGAGATCCTGTGCCGTCTGTTCATCAGTGATGGCATTGGTGTGCATTTCATCGTTGACTTTCTCTAACTGTTTCTCTTTGTCCAATTGGATCAAAGTATTGAGATATGTCTGGAGTTCGATCTCCTCTTTGATGCGCTTCTCTTCGCACACATTAAACCGTTTCCTTCGCGCGACTCTTA